AAAAGACTTCTGAGATCACTGAGTCCAACCTATGACCAAACACCATCTTATCAACCAGACTGTAGCACTGAAGTGCCACGTCCAGTCTTTTCTTAAACACCTCCAGGGAATTAGCCAAGGTAATGATGGGGACAATTTAAAAACCTGTGGAAGAAATTTGAAATTTTTTCCATAGGTTTGAAAACCTATGGAAAAAACCCCAGATACTGAAGGGTATTGGATGTTGACTGTATCACACACACTATTACAGACACTGCTGTATTTTATCTGCACTGACGTGCTGACCAGGTAAGGAACCAGCTTGTGATTGCAGGCTCAGATAGTGTGCAGTGTTAACTACCACCTTTGCTCTGGGATTATAAAGGTCACTGTAGCTCAGGTCCCTTACTCAGTGTGTTCCCTGAATGCCCTTCAGTAACTCCTGCTAAGATAGCAGGGGACTGTTTCTTTTCTGAAGCTGTGATGAAAGAGCCTCTTTGGAAGAAAGAGAGATCCAAAGGTGAAAAACGTACGGGCTAAATATTTGCTAATGCTAATTTTACCCTGGTCAAGAATTTTTTCTGTGAACAATCCTAATCAAGCAGCATTAGGGAATAAGCAGTCCAGTGTGGGTTTATAGCATTTGAGGGGAAAAATATGCAATAATGATATAATTATTATTATTTCTCAGGTTTTTGCACTTTTTTTTAATCACTCTTGCTAATATGAAGTGGGAGGAAGGCTGAAAAGGTAGACAGATGAGGCATGGTACATACCTGCTTTTCTGAAAATCTGCTGCGTGTTAGTATGGGCATATGTCTTACAGGAGCTGTTGTGATTGACCTTAATTCTGCTATTTAGGAAAATAAAAACAACTCGTGAAAGCTGAGGGAGTGACAAAGGACAGACAGATCAGTGCTCTGTTACCAAAGCCACTCCAAGGGTATGGAAGTGCTTTATGTTATGATGTTTTTACAGTTTGTCTTAGTCCTTTGCATGCTCTGTTACCAGGTCTCCCGAGGGATCACCCAGAAAGTTACCATTCCTTCATGTGGAAAAACTTCTTCAAGCACATTGACATCTCACCAGAGAACGTCCACATTTTGGATGGAAATGCACCTGATCTCCAGGCAGAGTGTGACGCATTTGAGGAGAAAATCAAAGCAGCTGGAGGAATTGAACTCTTTGTTGGAGGTGAGAATTGTCAGGATTGTTCACTTCCAGTGTCTTTCAGTGGATTTGCAGTGAAAGGCACCCCACAGTCCACCACCCTGGGCACTGATGTGTGCTGGCAGCCTTGTCTCCCATTGTACTGCTCCCACAGTTTTCTGTTTTTCAATCTAGTCAGTGAATTGTTCAGGAAATGATTAGCAGAAGAAATGGAAAGAGCTAGAATGATACAAATGCAAAATGTATTATAGTTGTCAGTGCTGACAGGAAACTCCTGGGAGTAGAGTCCTCTGAGCCAGCAGGAGCACAAACTTCTCCCATCAGTTTGCCTTGAGATTCTGCCACCTACTTTGCTTTATTGTTGTCCCAGCACAGTTAGGGAAGAGTCTGTTGGCTTCAGAGGGGCCTTTTGCTGTCATTCTACCAGACACAAATTTGAGCTTGACCAGAAGAATTGCAGGTGTTTTTTTCAGATCTGTGTTTCTGGAAGCACTGACTGTCCTTCTTGTGGGAGAGCTGTTAGCTCTGCTCCTGCAGCTGACCCTCTTCTCCCGCTATCTCTGTCCCAGGTATTGGCCCAGATGGTCACATTGCCTTCAACGAGCCGGGATCAAGTTTGGTGTCCAGGACACGAGTGAAGACCTTGGCCATGGACACCATATTGGCTAATGCCAGGTTCTTTGATGGTGATCTCTCCAAAGTCCCCACAATGGCCTTGACAGTCGGAGTAGGCACTGTCATGGATGCCAGAGAGGTTAGGAGAAAAGCAGTGGTTCCTATAGTAGCTCTGGAGCAGCTAAAAGTTATCCTGTTTTGAAGCAACAACCCTGACTGCCCTTCTCTGTGTCTTGGGGTGCAGGTGATGATTCTGATCACAGGAGCCCACAAAGCCTTTGCTTTGTACAAAGCCATCGAGGAAGGTATCAATCACATGTGGACAGTGTCTGCCTTCCAGCAGCACCCCAACACCGTGTTCGTGTGTGACGAGGATGCCACGCTGGAGCTCAGAGTCAAGACAGTGAAATACTTTAAAGGTGAGTGTTTGACCAGGCCAGGCAGCTCTTTTGGTAGTTTTTAAGTGGTACAAGCCATGCTTTGCATTAGATGTTTCTGTGTATTCACCTCCCAAAGGAGTATATTCCTTAAATATACCACAGTAATCAGTGTGAAGGTAAATGTGTAAGTGCTCAGGTGTAAGGGTAAAGGAACAAGGACACCAGTAATGTCTAATTTCATCAGCATCCAATGAATGACAATTTTGCTTTATTATATCTACTTAAATCATCTTTTTACTTTCTCCATCAGGTTTAATGCTGGTTCACAACAAGCTCGTGGAGCCCTTGTACAGCATGAAGGAAACAGGAGCAGAGAGGAGCCAGTCTAAGAAGCCATACAGTGACTGATCTGCTCGGGGCAGTGCTGAACCAGCTGTTGAAAATAGCTGGGAAAAAAAGGGAATTTCTGCAAAAACTGATCTCATATTTGTTCTTAAATTAGCAGAATGGTCATATGGTTGCTTCTCTCCATTAAAGAGACAGATGCCAAACACCTGCCTTAATTAGCCAAATGGATGGATCCAGTGCACTGTGTTCCACAAACTTCTGTCACTAACTCATTCTCTGAAGGAGAAGTCAGTGAAGGATGAGTTGTTTGATCTATGAACTGACTGTAATCTTGGACTGAAGGCTGCAAAACTGAAATGTGAGGATAAGTGAAAGTACAACACAAACCAAGTGGGTAATCACTTTGGGGTGTATTCCTTGTAATTAGGACAAGTACCTCGTGTGTCATTCTTTCTCCATGAAACACTCCTGCATTAGAATAATGGAAAATGGGAAGCAAACTTGTCCAGGTGGAGAAGGGAAAGCTTCACATGAGCAGCCCCAGAGCCAGGAGGGGGTCAGTGAGAAGATGGAGCCAGGAGGAAGATGAGAAGAGACAGTGGGACCTGAGTGGAGACACAATGCTCAGACTGGATAGAAAGATAAAACCTCCCCATGGGGACAGCCAAGCAATGGGGCAGATTCCCCAGAAGCTGTGCAGGCTCTGTCCTTAGGAGGTTTCCAAAATCTGACTGGATAAAGCCCTGGCTGAGCCCTGCTTTGAGCCAGATGTTGGACTTGCGATCACCTCAGCACAGGAGGCTACAGCAGCATTCACCCACACAGGGTTAATCATGCAGTTTGGGCATCTGAGGATGTTATTGATGTCACACAAGAAGCCCTTCATGTTCAGTCCCAGGGTATAACTTTCTATGCCCTGGTGCTTTATGAAGTACTCAGAAGGGTAGATTTGTTGAGATGAAGCAGAAGTGACCACTCTGTGCTCAGCACTGTTCACTGTAACAGGGCAGAACCTGAAGCAATACGTTCTCTCTCCTCACTGCAGAACCTTCCATTGCTCTGAGTAAATGCCAAACCAGCCTCCAAGGAAATGCTCTGTTCCCACTGGCTTCAGCCTCTCTTTAATAACAGAAGTCCCACATGGGTGGACAACAGCCTGTACTAGCAAGACCCCACTAATTCTGATATGTGATTCCATCCAATTCTACCACAGGAGGGGCAAGAAAACTGACCAATGTTTATTTTCTTTATGTAGAAATTTTGTAAGCTGTTGATCTGTAATGCAACTTTCTAGACTAAACATCTTTAATTTTTTCTAAATGGTGGCATTGACTGTATCTGTGCTTGTGAAACCAAAGCTGTCCTGGAAGCAGTTTGGTAGGAATAGCTCCCTACTTCCTTGCCCAGTATTTGCTGGCAGGTTTCCACCAGACACCTGCTATGATTTTGTCCTGCCAGGCAGCAGGCATGCCACATGAAATGTGGGGGCCTTTAAAGGAGAAAGGAGGAGGCCACAGCTCTACCTGGTACCACAAAGTGTTTAGAAATAATTTAATTGCGTGCATAGAAATGGTGAAAGTGAGGTTTTCAAGAGGGGAAAAGACTGAGGGAGAAAATCTGCACTCTGTTGCCAGAGCTGCTGCTTTGCTCTCTCTACAGGCAGATGCTGGTTTTAGCTGTCCTGCCTTTGCAACACCAGCTGATTGTCCTACATATGCAGTCATCTGCTTGTCCCTTCCCCAGAGGGTCTGTCCTCCTCTGCCTTGCTGCAGAATCTGGAAACTCCAGTCCAGGGGTCCCTGAATTTATAGAAAGGGTGGTGGCTACATTGCTCCTCCTCCTCCCTCCACACAAAGTCCTTGAAAGCTGAGGTGGTTCATTGCTACATCTTCCAGTACTTCACTATTTGTGCTCTGGTACATCCCCAGCCATGGATCTTCATCCCCATGTACCCTTTGGCATCCCAGCCCTGCCCTCAGCCCACCTCTCTCCTGGTTTAGGGGATCCAGTGCCATCTCCTCCATCCAGGCAGGATAAGGAGGTTTATGCATATGTTTCTCCTTGTCACAAACATTCTCCATGCCCACATACACAGCTCAGCAGGAAGAAAGTCCCCTCCAAAGGCAGGCAGCTTTGTGATTCAGCCTGGAGAGTTAAAAACTGGCCAGAGGGGAAACAGAGCTGCATCCAACATGGTGATCCCAGAGCAGTGTCCCAACAGCCACCCTGTCTCAGTCAGGGGCTTGTACCTCCAAGGGAAAACCAGGGCCCTTTGGGTGGGAGGGCACTTTGCATACATAAATGTCCAAAATTCCATGAGCAGAACACGTGCTGTGCCAGCTTCACTTGGGAGCTCTGAGCCCAGCTCTGGGCTGTCCCATTCCACAGCCCCATGGCACATGAACACTGGAGCCAATGGCCACCTGGACACTGACCTGTGCTGCCAAATCCATACCAGAATGAAGACAAACAGAGAGACAACTGTGTTTACCATCTTAAAGTGAATTTAGTGCATGTGAAAGGTGCAGGAAATGCAATTCAAATCATACACAATGTAAACTTCTCCTACACGCTGATCTATAGCCTAAACTGAGGTGAGATTCAATCTCACCATCTCATCTTTTTAATCTCTGCCTCTTCTGACAGGATAGACTCTCATCCTCTAGGAAAAGAACTGAAGCAGCACTCATTTTGGCCACATATCCCAGTATAAATTTATGAACTATCAGTAAAAACTGAGTGAGAGGTGATCACTTTGAGTTTCTGAAGAGTCTTCCATCTCCTGACCTATCCCTCCATGCCCTACTACTTTTGAACACAGCACACATAGCTTTAATTTCCAAATAAACTTTTAGACTGTTCTGCAAGTGGAAAAACTTGTAAAAAGTTAGTGGTTCCCTCCAGTAATTACCTTCATGTTTATAAAACTACTTGCTGAGATTTTAGGGAAAACAATTTGCTTTCTGAATAATTTGAAGTCCAAAACTAGTGGAAGTAAGGGATCTAGTCCAGAAGCAAAAGTATCAACTAATCAAATTTCTTATGTGAAGAGTTAATAAAAATAAATTACTTCGTCATCTGAGAATACAAGGTAATTGTCAGTATCTTGAAGAATCATCTTTGCCTGGTACTTTTCACCCTCTCACATCCTCAGCTCACTGCCTTAGCACTCATCACTGGAGAAACAAGGAGAGGCAATGAGAGTGAATCCAATAGGAACACCGGGTTGAGTCACCAACCTGACAGAAATTTCTGGAAAAGGCTGTTGGTCATTTTCTGCCCAAGCACTCAGGGATGCAAAGGCCCAGGCACAACAGCCAGTGAGAAGGAGGTTGGGGACAATCAGCTTTAATGTCATTAGAAAGTACCAGTGACAAAACCATGAGCTGTTTTTCAGAGAAACACGTCAGGAAATTCATAAAAGCAACAAACTTTGTTGCTAAACTTCCCCAGTCCAAGCAGCACCACTGAACAGCTCCAGAAAGAGCTCTACAGCTCTAACAAACTGCCCAAACCCCCACAATATTCATGATCCAAGAGTCTCCAAATGTTGGTCTCCCTAAAGAAACCTGTCGTAAGGCAAAAATTGTGTGAACAATTTTCTTTACATTTCTGTGTGTTTCACCTTAGCATGGCTGGGTGCTGATAGTAAAAAATGCTGCGCCACTAATATGGCTGCAGGCCTTGTGCCAAGATGCCAAGGAGGAGTTTTGGCAGGTGAATAAAGTTTTCTCATCTCCTATGACCACCTGTTGTGGTCCAATTAGCAGTGAACAGCAGAGTATGTTTTCCTTATGTAACCAATGTAGTGTGAACAAGAAGCTGAGCGTCATGAGCACTACATAATCTGTCTTTCTCCTAATAAATCCGACATTTGCCTGATCATATTGATCCTGGAGCACTCTGTCCATACCCTTCCATCGATAAAAACCCCCAAATCTCTCCATGATTTGAGGCTTCTGTTTGCTTTTAAAAAAGGGGCATCTCTTGGTATATATTTTTCCAACTTCTGACTGGTTGTATTTAATATGGTATGTCTTTAATAATCCATGTGATTGTTAATGCATTCCATGATGATCCTGACCCCAGGATGGGTAAAGTGGTCTCCTTTGGCTTTGGCAACAGGCTCTGAGGTGTGAGTATCCTGCAGTGCAGGGTAGTTACCACTCTTCTATCACACAATGGAAGTGAAAAGCAAACAAAGGACACCAAAAAAAAAAGCATCTGTCTCTGGTTTGTTCACCTTTTGTTGCTGGAGAAAGCTACTGGTCATCATCTTCAACTCCCCAGTACTCCCCATCATCAATGTGCATGGCTTGAAACAATCTGCAAGACAGAAAATTAGTGGTAATAATGCTAAATATGTTTAAAACAATCTAAATGCAACAAAAAGTACAAAAGCAGTAAGTTTCACTGTTTTTTTCAGTATCACAAACCACTCATGATATCAATGTCAAATTAAGTAAAAGACTCTGCACTTCTACAGCTCGTTACACCAGCAGGTTTGATGGTACCTTACACACATCATATCCCAAGAAATTCCTGAAAATATTAATCATCCAAACCATATTAAAGTTACCCAGCAAGCTGCTGTTCCTGGGTGGTCTTTAGGCAGGATATAATCAGCAGCCAAACCTGCCTGCTCCAGACAACTCACAATCTCATTGGACACATGGAATTGGGCAAATAAAACATATGAGCATCAGGGGGGACAAAAAGGCACTTGGCAGTGCTGGGGTAATGGCTGGACTAGATGGTTTTAGGTCTTTTCCAACCTAAATGGTTCTGTGATTCCCTGATTCTAAATTATTCTTTATAAAGCACAGGAGCTTAGTCAAGACAAGGGGAGGTTACGTTACACTAAAATAAAAAAAGACAACAGAAGAAAAAGGAAAACAGAGTAGGAAGTGAAAAAATACTGTTGGGAGAAGACAAAATGCTGAAAAAGGGTCAAGAACAAGAAAAATCCTGTCAGCCACATCTATTACAGCAGAATGGATGGTGGATTGAGAAATTTGTTGGGATTTTGACTTTGGATCCAGGCACTACTATTGCAGTGATGGGCACATATCCCTATGGAATACACAAAGCCGAGAGGCTGCCACTGTCACATCCCTCTGAGCTGCCTTTTCACCTGTCCTGACAGCAGCAGCACCCTATTTTCCTTGATCCTTCCCCAGCAGTGATGATGTGAGGCAAGTCTGCAGCTGTTTAAAAGCAGCTTTCTGATCCAAAGCCTTATGCTGCACCTGAGCATCTTCATGGAAACACTTCCCTGCAGGCTGTGTGTCAGGCAGAGGCAGCACAGAAAGGATGAGGTCATGACCCTGACCAAAAAAAAATCAGGAATAGGCCCACAAGTCTCCTCCAGAATTTTGAAAAAAAAAAAAAAATTCTTAAAAAGTAAAAGCACATCTTGAATCACTCCTGATTTTTACTGTTAGTATTGGGTCCTTGTAAGGGAGAAAAAAATATGTCTTAAACTATAGCTACGAATTTCAAGGTAAGAATCTGGGAGAGACTGTTAGAAAAAGTAGAAAATAAGTGTTCCAGCACTAGAGGAAATACCTGTAAGCACCAACCTGTTAAAGCAGGGGGAAGAAGGGTCATTGAAGTGCCGGTAGGGGTTGGCCCTGGACAGAGAGCCCATGCAGAGCCAGCAGAAGTACTGCATGCACCCTGTGCACGTCATTTTGTTACAGCCATCGAGCTTCTGGGGGGAAAAAAACAAGAAACAGCAACATCAGAATCTTACTGTGTCAGGCTTCAGTCTCTCTATGACAACAGCCCTCAAATCTAAACCAGCCAATTAACACATTCGACCCCGACTCCATCACACACTGATTTTTTTTTCACTGTCCAACAGAACTGGGAGCTGGAATCCCAGCATTGTAAATTGGCTATACTACTAAAAATACTGGAAATTAATATTTTTCTGAAGCTGGTTTTATTTCCTGGCTATAGTGTGAAGCAGCAGTAACCTGAACCACACAGGAAATGAAAGGATTCATACAGATCCATAGTCAGCCTGGATCTGTTTAGTCCTGGGGCCTGAACACCACCAATTGCCGGATGATCTCAAATCCCTGAGCTCCACAAACATCACCTCACCTCCTTTTCCATGTAACACAGACAGAAATTGAAAGTTCTCTTAATATTTCCTAGAAATTCCCCTTCCCTGGTGAAGCTGGAGGCTACAAACACACCTCTGTCCCAGCCTAAACACAGAACTGCCTTAATTTCTGTTCCCATGATTTTCCATCCTTTCCCTCCATTCTTACCTCTATATGAGTCCCGCAGCAAGGACAAGACTTAGAGTTCTTTTCCAGCCATTCCTTACTCTCCATCTCCTCAAGGGCTTTCTGAATCACTCGCTTGCCATAACGTTGTTCCAAAAATCTTTTAGTTGCCTCATCTGCTTCCAAATAGCTGTTTCGTAAATCCATTAATTTCTCTGGGGAACAAAACCAAAGCAAACCAAACAGCTTTTGTAATATATCATATAAAGAAGTCCAGCTAATTGCAGCATAAAGATTTTCAAAGGAAACTAACATAATTCATTAAAAATCAAGAAAAATATTAAAAAACGTAAAATATTAAAACCCCTCTGCCCCAAAATTCAAGAGTTTTACACTTCTCATTATAACAGCGACTTGTCAATGGCATCAGGACAAGTCTACAATGTAAAGTAAAGTTCTGAAAATGGAATTTTCTCCGAACATATATTTAATGAAACTTGGTCACAGGATTTTGAGGCCAAACAGAGAGAGAAGCTTCCACCTGATTTCAGTATTAACTCTGACTACACAAAGTAGTTGATTCACATGAAAAGGTAAAAAAAAAATACATATATAAAATTATTCTTCCCCTGCTATGGCCTCTCAGCATTTGACAACCAGCAGTCTGGGGACCTCCTAAGCTGTGGACTGTCACCAAAGGAATAATATTTAACTGCCAGCAACAGACCTACTCCAAATGAAATGTGTCTGGTCTTTTAGAAAGCTCACAGGGAGGAGTTTGCTTGCCCAATTTCTGACTATTTCACACAAGATTTAACTGCACCTCGATGCGTCTTTGGAACACAGGGTGGAGGTGGCTCACCTGCGGTGACCTTGCACGGAGACACCCCGTGGTAGGTCATCTTGCAGAGGGTGCAGAAGGCGTAGTTGCAGCAGGAGCAGATGGCCATGGTGCAGCCGGGCTCCTGCATGACGGGGGTCTGGCAGCCCGGGCGGGGGCAATACACCACATCGGCCATCAGGTCCAGGCTGGACTGCAGGAGCAGCCGGTCATAGCGGGCAAAGAGCTCCTCTCCAACCAGCTCCTTCACCTAAAGGCCACAGAGAGGTGTTAGGAAAAAATTTTTCCCTGTGAGGGTGGTGAGGCCCTGGCACAGGTTGCCCAGAGAAGCTGTGCCTGTCCCATCCCTGTAAATGTTCAAGGCCGGGTTGGATGGGGCTTGGAGCACCTTGGTCTAGTGGAAAGTGTCCCTGCTCATGGCAGGGGGGTGGAACAAGATGAGCTTTAAGGTCCCTTCCAATCCAAACCATCCTGGGATTCTATGATTACTTGCATCTAAAATTCTGAGCCTGCTACCATCAGCAAAACACAGTAAGGCAATGAAAAAATCCCTACAGTTGGAATGAATCCACTTTATTCTCCAACAGGTCATGAAAATATTCCTAGAAATGCTATTCTAATAATAATTAGGAAAAGGAAAAGCATGCAGTGTTAAATGGAATGTGCATGCAGTGTCAAATAGAATGGGAGGCTGCTGATCAATGCCAGTACTAATAAACTGGGCAAAATAGGTGCCAAGGCATCCAGTTTTAACTCCAATGACTCTGTGTCTGTGTGGCTCAGAGCATGAAGAAAATGTCCCCAGGTATATTCCCTGGAAAATGTCCCCAGGAATCCTCCCTCTGTGCTGGGCACTACTGAAGCACCTCCAGTCCTGGGGTCAGTTCTGGGCCCCTCACAACAAGAAAGACATCAAGGGGCTGGAGTGTGTCCAGGGAAGGGCAACAGAGCTGGGGAAGGGTCTGGAGCACAAGGAGCAGCTGAGGGAGCTGGGGGGGCTCAGCATGGAGAAAAGGAGGCTCAGGGGGGACCTTCTCACTCTCCCCAAATCCCTGACAGGAGCGTGGAGCCAGGTGGGAGTCGGGCTCTGCTCCCAGGGAACAAGGGACAGGACAAGAGGAAATGGCCACAAGTTGTGCCGGGGAAGGTTCAGGTTGGACACCAGGAGAAGTTTCATCTTGGAAAGGGTTGTCAGGCATTGGAAGGGAGGTCGTGGAGTCCCCACCCCTGGAGGTGTTCAGGGAATGACTGGCACTCAATGCTCTGGTCCAGTTGACAAGGTGGGGATCGGTCACAGGTTGGACTTTGTGATCTCAGAGGTCTTTTCCAGCCTCAGTGACTCTGAGATTCCCAATGCTCACTACACAGAGCCACACTCTGTCCCTGTAATTGGGGGTGAGTTAGCAGGACTCTCCAGCCCTGTGTGCACACGTGTATTACCTGGCCAGGAGTGGCGACAGAAGAACACTTGGGCTCGGGGCAGTTCAGGCAGTGGACCTGCCCGTCCCTGATCTGAATCTCAAAGTAGTCCTTCAGGCAGGCTTTGCAGTACACGTGGCTGCAGTCGGTGAAGTGCATGCACTCGCTGCCCAGCTTCTCACAGAAGCAGATATTGCACAAATACATCTTACTGTTAAAGCACTTCCTCCTCTGGGCCTGGTCAAAGTCCAAGATTTCCCTGATCAGACTCGACAACGACTCCACGTCCTGCACAGCTCTGGCATCCATGATTTCCTCCTCAGCTGTGGCAGAGCCTGCTGCACCCCCACAGTCCTTCCCAGGGTCGAGAGGCGTCCGACTCTGTGCTTGCCCTTGAGGGCACATTTTTAACTCATACGGGGATGAAATATTCAGGTAACTCAGTGTTTCTTCCTTCAGAAACTGCATCCAGGCAAATAGGACCACACAGCCTCGATTCTCTTCCCACACATTGTCCAAGTGTTTGCAAAGAGCGCTGAGCTGGAAAAGAACAAACAATTCCTGATTTTGGTTAAGTTGTGACAGCTCCTTACAGGGTTCCTCTCCTCCCATGGTCCATAGTGCACACTTTGATTACAGATTCACCAGTTTTTAATCTATCCATAAAATACATATAAAATAGTTCGCCTCGATGCAAACTCTTCTTCCTCGGAACAGTGACCAAGTGAAAACAAGAAGGAGACAAAAGAAGAGCCAACTGAACAGCAATGTCATTATTTTTATTTAATTTCATTACCCTTCCCCAGAACGCTGTTAATTATTAACTTGCTCAGCTCTATCAAAATGTTAAAAATCTTCTGCAAACCTGGGCCTGGGAGAGCCATTTCCCACTGAGGGTGAACACAGGTGGTGATGTCGATGGGTAGTCGGGTGGGAGCTCAAAATTCAGCACGAGGGGAGGCAGGAAGCACACGGAGTACTCGAACCCACTGCTCTGGAGGCTTTCTGTGGAACTGCCTGAACCTGAGACAACCAAGGCAGGTTGAGAAATAACAGGAAAATGAAAACTAATGAACTGTCACTGTTTATGACAGCACCCAATCTCTTTTAACTTGATACGTTTCTGGGGTTAAAATTATCTGTTTGACCCTAAATAACTAAACTCAGTGCGGTAAAATATCATGGGGTTGTAGCTCTGTGATTAAAGCAGAACACCAACAACTGTGAAATGTCAGATCCTGCTCAAACCAGGAACATGGAAAGACATATCCTCAAGGGAATAAAAAAATAATGAACTTAATTATTCTGAAGAAATACTACTACTCATCTGTAAAGTTTACTAAAGGGTTAAACTACTCAAATACAAACCCCAACACTACCACAAGCACAGCAAAGGCTGAGCCATGGTTTGTCCAGTCACTGCTCCTGCAGGACACTCCACAACCAGCAAATGAGCTTGGTAAAACCTCCCTGGGGATAACACAAAACATCTCAACTCACCACTCACAAAAATTTTGAAGTCTTGAGGCAACTCCAGACAAATTCTTGTTTCTCCTCCTTGGGCAGACTCGGCTCTCTTAAACTCATCTTCATCATAGATGCTGGCCAGAGCCAACAGCTCGTCCTCCTGAGCTTCCTTGTCCTCTGAAGACATTTAACTTTCCTGTGGAGTTACCACCACTCTGCAACATGAACTGAGTTAACACGTCCTATTCCAGTGATTAATTTGGGATATCTATGTTATACTACTATAAGAGTTAGAAACCCAAGCAACTGGTCTTAATCAATGTGAAATATAATTAAAGGTTTTTTACAGGCTGAAAAAAAAAATGGTAGCTTTATAAAAGAAAAAACTCCCCTCCACACCAGAATATTGAAAAGGCAGAAAGCAAACCGTGTGTTAGACAGATGTAAGGGAGGAAATAATGAAATACAGAGATAGCACAAGTGACACAGGGACATTTCACTGATGTTTGAAGTAGAAAACAGACCCCAAAAAACACATGAAAAAGGAATTAGTAACAGTAGCCCTTGTCCAATGTTCTAAGGCAAACAAGGAAACAGCCCTATTTGCAATTAGTTATTGAAGATGTCAGTAAAAAGGTTCAAATCCTGTACAGGTATCTTGTAGATGAGCCCCTAGAGTATCTCTCAGTCCTACATTTGGGAAAATAAAGCCACATTGGATAGATTACCTTCAGACTCACAGCAGCGCGGTGGGAGGGCCGAGGTGCCGGTCCGTGACCATTCCTGTTTGGGGCCGGGGTCGGGCACTTCTCATGTAAGGCACGAACACGTCGGTGTTGTTTGTGGGAGGAACCAGCGGTTCTGGCAGCGGCTCTGGGGCTGCGGGCGGACAAACACACGCTCAGGGGTTAGAGGCCCCTCCGCGCTCTCATCCCCAACACCCGCAGCACCGCATCCGAGCGGGGGATGTTTATTCCCAGCTGGATGTTTATTCTCAGCTTGAGGAGCAGTGGCCGCGTTGCGCGTCCCGGACAGAGCCGGGGGCCCCAGCACGGGGCGGGCACGACCCCACGGGGATGGGGGGGACGGGAGGAGTTCAGGAATAACCCCCAAATTC